TTGATCCTGACCTGGCATCTCGACTTCAGTCACTTTCTCACCGATGTGATGCGGCTTCCCTCTCTCTTTCCTACAAATATTTTCATGGCTTTATTTCCTCGTGACCCGACTACATGAATTTAAACGTGCTATTAGATATACGGCTAGGTCAAGCCGCTTTACTGTTGAACTAGCTAGATGCAACCGCCATTTCTACTCGAACAGTTTCTTTTCTCGCATTCGCACCTGTAGAAATCCCTCCCGATTTCTTGCTTCCCCGATAACTACAATTTCCAAAAACTTAAATGCAACGTCAATCGACATCTTCTATCTTCTTAAGCCCTGTTCCTTTTTCTCCTTTCCTCAATCCTCCTGATTCTCAGTTTTCTCTTTCACTTTCACTCCCTGTAACAACCTGCGTTCTAATGTCGCCTTGTTTGGGATGAAACGAATACAAATAAATTCCAAAAGATAAGCAAAGTACAGGAAAATTTTATTAAGTACAAAGAAAAAGGTGCTAAAATGATATGTAATACCAATCCTCCTATATGGCAGCGAATGCTGGACAATTTTCTCAAAGACGAAGAGTTCTACAGAAGGATTCTGAGAATACCATGGACAAATCACTTAAGCAACATAGAAGTCTTAAGGAAAATGGAAACAAAAAGATTAGAAAGAGACAGCTAAAATTTCTTTGACATATAATCAGGAAAGATGGCTTGGAAAACGTCTGTAATTAACTGTTCTTTTCTTATTTCGAGAAAATATAATATATAATTTATTATATATATATATATATATATATATATATATATATATATATATATATATATAATTTTTGTATAGATAAAGGTAAAGATGAAAATAGAAGGAAAACCATACAAAAGGCACTCTCTTTTGCGCATCTTTAAGTTACCATTCAATGACTGATTCTTTAAACTCTGTTAAGATGCGACAAGAAACATCAAAGCTATACAAACTAAGTGATTTGTCATCCATTACTATGTTTAGGTCATTGTGTCTGCACAGTGTGTCTAGGGCTACATAACATGACTGTTTACGTCTACATATCTAAGCTTATCTTACATATGTTTGAATCTATCTTTGTAGATGTTCAGATAATGTAATTAATTCTGAATTAATTTTGCTACAATGCTTAACTGAAAATTTTACATAGCATTATTCTTGTTTATAACATCAATGTTCTTGATAAACAATGTCGTTCATATTTCAATACTTATTCGCATCCTTATCAGAACAATGACATTTATAAAACATCTTTGTTTTAATTTACACTATTTACATTTGAACTGCTGTTCTTGTCTTTGCTGTTGTTACCACAACGTTTTGGCACCACTTCCTGTCGTCAGCATGTGTATACAAGGGAATTCTGAACTGAAGCCTCTACGAAGTTAGACTGTTCTCATTTCTCACTACCATGTCTAAGGATATCTTGCCTGTTTCTTATTTATAGTACTGTTCAGTACAAGTACACACTACCCTGCTCAGTGATTGAACTCAACGATTCTTTAAATCTTAGACATCAAGAGGCATCAAAACTATACAAACTAAATTATACAATGGATTACTGAGTGTGTAAGTGTTGTAGCATACCTCCGGACGATAATGGGTATGTCCCCATTCACATAAATACAGTAGTAAATACTGTATTTTGGTCTGTAGTTAGAAATTTGTCTCCAACTGTGCTGGTCAAATCTCTGCCTTCAGACAGAGAGGATCCCCAGACGAGGCGATGTCGAATAGAATATTACACTTCGCTATTGTTGTAGCATACCTACGGACAATAATGGCTATGTCCCCATTCACATAAATACAGTTGTAAATACTATACGTTAGTTTGCAGTTGGAGATTCCTCTCCAGCTGTGCTGGTTAAACTCTCTGCCGCCGGACAGAGAGGATCTCCAGACGAGGTTATGTCAAAGAGCAGAGTCTCGTCTTGGGTAACAGCTACCCGACCCCGTTTTATACGGGGTCTACAGGGAATTTTTGGCCGAGCCTACGGGCTCGGATACCCCACATTAAATTCGGCCTTGTGCCACATCTGACAGCGCTGGGTGGTTGGTAAATATTCTGCAGTTGGGGATTCATTGTGGAATTCACTTGACTCACTTCTCGCAGTTGACTACTACTTCTACGCGTCGCTGGTATATCTTATATGTGTTGTTCTTGTCCTAAGTATTATTGTTCATTACCAACCTTCGGGTGATTATTCTATTCAGTAACCTTCCCTAGGTTACAACAGTAAAATTCTGAGAAAAATCATTATTAAAAAAGAGATGCCAATAAAAAGACAAGAGTTAATAAGACAGAAAATAATGATTGGCACTTCATGTAAAGTTTTGAAGATCAATTTTGACTACAAAGCAGGAAACAGGAAGAAAATTCCACAAGTGAGAAGTATTTCTATGCTCGAGAGTCTCTGTTAAACCCATTTTGATTTTTTTTAATCTAAAGCAAGGAAATAAAGCCACTATGATGCAGGGTGTTATTGAGTGTGAAAGAATCTTAGAAAAATGTGTTAAGGAGAAAGGACAATAAAAGCACAGGTTTTAAGAAGATAGAAGTTAACGATTGACACTGCAAGTTTTAAAGATCAAAGTTGACAGGAAAGCAAGAAGCCGGAAGGAAGAAGTGCAAGAGAAGAAACTGCTAGTAGAGATCTTATGGATACATTTAGTAATATCAACAGCAAAATTATGAGACCTCACTACCAATCTAGTATTACACTTAAATTCCCAAATTCGAGGTACCAAAGATGAAATCAGAATAGATTACATGAAAATATTTGTAGAACAGGCAGAAATCACGAAATATGAAAACATTATTTACATTGTTCGGACTGTTGTCCATGTCTTTATTGTCATGTTCACGACGTTTTGGCCGATGTATGCTGCGGCCTTCTTCAGGCGATTTTATTGTTTTCTCACCTTAATAATGTTTTCCCATATTCTCTCACATTCAGTAACCCCCTTACAAATTGCTTTATTGCTTTGCTTGTGGTGAAATGATTAAAACAAATCCCAGAAATTCGAACAGAAATTTGCAAAGCATTTATAGATTAAAATATTTTCTTCTGTCTGTAATTTATTAAGAATTCTGAAACTCAATTCAAAGATTCTGGAAAAATATCTGAGAGTGGGCTGTCAATAGAATCACCAGGCTGCTGCTCTTGAATACCTTGTCTGGCAACCAGCCAACTATGTTATTGACAAAAGATTGGTGCCAATTTCTTGTGTCTGAAAATTCTGAAGATCTGTCAGTGAAGAAAAGGAAGAAAGAGCACCCACAGGATATTCATTAGGATATTTGATTGCATAGAATTTGGTCTTTTAATGCTGTTCTTTGGCATACGGTGCTTAAATGCAAATACTGCCAACCAGCCAAAAAGACATTTATAATAAGGACAATATTTCAATGAGACAAGATATAGCTGGCAATCATTTTGTCTGAATAAACAATCTCATCTTAATAAAATTTCAGCCAATATCTTTAGTTACTGGACTCTCCTGTAGTTTTCGAGATATGTGGGCCCAGCAGCGCAGTTCTTAGAATCAAACATCCAGACTATCTTACATATTTATAAGTTTACTATTTGTCCTTGCTTGTAATATTGCTGCTGTATAGGGTCTAGTGCTCTATCTACATATTTAGAGATTATTGATCGCTATCGAAAGAAGAATCTGCAATGTTATTGGCATCTCGGCTTCATTCACTTTCCTACCGCCGTAATGTCGCTTCCCTGTGATTTTTCTATTAATATATTCATGGTAATGGTTCTGATGAAATTTCCTCTATAGTACCTAGATTTTATGAATTTAAGCGCAGTACTAGATTGGCAGTAAGGTCTCATCCTTTTACAGTTGAAATGCCTAGATGTAGCCAAAAGTCTATGCTAAAAGTTCTACCACACTTCTTAACTGTGGAACTCTCTTATGGCTTCTTGCTTTCCAGTCAAGTTTGAGCTTCAAAAATTTAAATGCTACGTCAATTGTTATCGCCTCTCTTCTTAATTCCTGTTCTTTTATTATTTTTCCAACATAATAGTAATTTTCTCATATTCGCTAACACTCGGTAACCCCTTGCGTCTTAGTGGCTTTATTGTTTTGCTTGAGGTGAAGTGATTAAAGAATTATGATTTAATTATAGCGGTGAAGACTATAACTGAATAGAAAAAACTAGGGCACCTAGTGTCCCCGAACAACCCTCCTATTGTCTAAAATCTAGACTTGTCCACCCAGACAGGTTGTAAACGGAAGCGATAGGGTCTAGGCTGTCCTAACTGGAGAGAAGAGTTGTCAATAGCATTCCCAATGCTAGTTGCACGTAAATGAATGTAACGTACCTGACTGGAATTCGAACTTGGCCCACTGATTTCTCATACTTGGCCCACTGATACATACACACACATATATCAGTCAACTACTATGACAGTGGATACTGGGCAGTCTCCCCATAGATGGAAAGGAGACTTCAAGCAACAGAGATACGATTCTATAGAAGGATTGTGAGAATATCAGGGATAGATCGTGATATCAATGAGGACATTTATACTTAGAATAAAAAAGAGACGGTTGAAATTCATTGGACACATAATGAGGAAAGACGGCTTGAAGAATTCAACCCTCACATGACATATTGGAGGCAATAAGAGCAAAGGTTTTAATGAGTGATTCTTATCAACCCTTTGCAGGTTATTTAAAGTCAGAAAATGTTTTTAGATTGTAAGAATTTTTTGGAGATAATAATGATTTTACTGATACAAGTCCTACTAATTAACTAATTTAGCAATATATTAAATAAAAAATTTTTAATTTTTTTTCAGAGATAATGATAGTTAAGCCTTACTAATTAACCCTTACCTGGGGGAGAAGAGGCGGAATCATGCGCTTCTCAAGGGTATTCGCACGTTAGTCAATATAACAAACCCAACTAGAATTGTAACTCAACTCTGATTTTACAATTTTGAGCCATTATCAATTGCACAACCTCCACACCCAAGCTTACAGCACGTGGTATTCCCAAGCGGTTACCCATCTAGGTGCTGACCAGGCTCGGCGTTGCTTAACTTCGATGATAGGACGAGAACCAATGTTTGAACATGATATGGCCGTAACCTACCTAATGCTCTTGTGCAAATGGATGACCGAATAGGAACGGAAAGAAAATGCAAACACTGTTAAGAACTACAAAGGATAGAACATTGTGGAGAGTTATGATTATCCACGTCCTGAAGGGACATGGTACATAGAAGAAGAAGAAGAGGAGGAGGAAGAAGATTGATTTTGATAAGAAGAGAATAACAGCTATGACCCAGACCTTATACATCGTTGTATAAAAACGTTTAATTAATCAGTTCCTTCACTTCTACATTTCTGAGATTGTAGTCTTCAATATTCAAACGTTTCATGTGAGGCACTCAGATACCATTGTCTTGAAATAGTCTTTGGCGTCGTTGTCTTTCTCGTTCTGTTGCTAATCTTTTTCTTTTGAGAGATATTTCCATTTCACTGTTGTATTAAACATAAAATCTTTAACATGAAAAGATATTGAGCAAAAAGTGATTTATATAATACCAATATTAATCAATAGATCATAGATACTATTGAACGTCTGTAATATATAAAGTGAACAGATTAATTAAAAAGCAGGAAAAGTAATCGTCACATGCACATGATGCAGATGCACAAGAGTTGCATAGAATGCACTCTTCTCACCTTGATCAATGTAGTGTCTCTACATGGCTTTTCAAGTGAACCAAAAGAAATCATAGGAGTTATTCAAGATGAATAAAGGGAAGTAACCAAGGTTTGTTTATTCAGTATCTCCGTAAATTTTGCAACAGAAAGATGCTCCATGGAACAAAAATGTGAGCAACGACGAGGTTTTAGAGAAAATGAAAACAAAAAAGTCACTTATATTTAACGTCAGAAAAAGAGTTGAAATTTCTAGAGTACATAAAGAGGAAACAGGGCTTGTAAAATTTGATACTCACAGGACATGTTGAAGGCAAGGGGACAGAGGAAAACAACCCATAGCCTACTTTTAGAGTTAGAGTAAATGGATAGAAGAACAAGGTTTAGTAGAGACTAGCAGCATGACCCGGCGTTGCCCGTGCTTGATTCAAAAATCGTACGACTCATACAGAAATCGCTATCACTTGACTTAAAATATTTTTGCCCTTCCTTGAATTTAAAGGAGTGCCCTTTGCCGTGCTGATGTTGCTACATGCCTTACTTCTCACACTCTATACTCTATACGAAACATTAAATCTGTTACGAAAAAAAGAACTAAACAAAATGAACACAAAACGATCAGCTTTAAAAAAGGAGTCGTAACTGGAAAAGCTGAGTGAAAAAAGAATGTTAAAAACAAATACTTTTTCACACCCAACCCAGTTCTGCGGAATCAGAATCAACGTTGAGTTTAAGCAAGCGAATGAGCCAACTAAAGTAAAGTGCCATGCAGATTTAAATTTTTCCCAATTGTGACGAATGCAGCTATCGATTTTTTTTGGATGCTAGCATGCTGGTTAACATTCGTGCCAGTCAGCTGTTGGCTCTCACGCTGGCCAATAGAATCTTCCTGCCTATAGGCTCTCACTCTGGCCAGTAGAAAGTGGCCGCAAACTACATGAAAACTGCCGTAGAAGCATGAAAAAATCGATTATTTCCACTATCAATGGGAGTTGAGAAATGCAAGGTCAGTCTTGGCCTTCCCGCTAACTTGGAGCATGTGCATGTAAATTTTGGTGCAAATCCGTCGAAAATTGCGGCCGTGCATTCGTTACACACACACATCCTGCCTTTTATAGATAGAGATAACAAAAAGACAGAATATATTAAGAGCTACATAGGACAGGAAATTGTGGTGGACCTTAATCGCATATGTTATGAAAGGATACGATATATAGAAGAAGATGGCTAGAATACAGCTAATTGCCTTTGTTGCGATTTTTTTATTGTTACCATTTTACTTTTGTTATGACTAAGACGATGTGTTTACATAGAAAATAAATTGTAAACAAAAAAGAATGAATTAAATGTTATGGTTGCTTATTTTAGTTCGAAGAAACTAGAGTTGGAGACGAGAAAAATCGACAAAAGTGTTGATATTTTTCTCTTTTCACAAATATATGATATTTTTTCTCTTTTCACAAAAAGCCAAAATATGTATTGTATTCTTGGATGGAATCAGTTTTCTTATGGAAATACTGAGGGGAAAATATTTTGCTATTCTCATTGATTCGATGACTCTACAGAATCGCCAATTTCTCGATTGCTTCTGCTATAATACTCTTTTTCTTTTCATTCTCTATTTTATAGACATTCCATCATCCCTGATAAACGAATGTTCCCTCAGGGAGGCCTTGTTTGTTTAGCACCTATTGAGACTTAAAATCAGTATGTGTATTTACTCACCCCCCACCCCCACAAGGTCAAGTTGTGACACAAGTTCAGTTTAATGTGGGGATCCCGAGCGCGCGCACCCGGGCAAGGAACAAAAATTCCTCGAGCCCCTGCAACCGTCGATTGCGCTGGCATCGGTGCGTGAACCTGTCCCTCTCTCTCGTGCAATGAGAGGGTGCGAACTCTGGCAGCTATTCCCCAGGGGTGGGTAACTCTCAGTATAATTTTCCTCAATTTCGACTCTGTCCTTCGACGGAGCCGCGCCTGAGCGCACTCTGCCCAAAGTCAGAGACGCAACTAAGATCTTGACGACAAGTGGAACTCGTGCATGAAGATCTATCGCTAAATAAGCTGAAAAATGCTCGGTTCCCTGTACCGCACCAGACAGTACCGAACACCTCCTGCTATCCTCTACTTTTTACAAGAGTCGATCAGGTCGAAAATGGAGTACTGTTGCCATATATGGACAGGAGCTGTACAGTCTTCACTTTCCAGTCTAGATATAGCCCAAAAGTGTCTCCTTGTCCTTGTAGGTGACAAATTATTTTCCACTTTACAACTCCTTTTTTGCAGATGAAACATCGCAAGCTTCTCGCTTCTCTATCGCTATTTCCACGAAAAGTACTCAGACGAACTACATTCCTTAGTTCCACCAGTTCTAGTCTTCACGGCTAGGACCCGACATGCCACGCCCATTTTAGCGAACCACCCCAGTTCCTTTCATATTACATTGGTGAGATATGAGTTCCACTCAAGCAGCTTTTTCCTACAAATCGGTGTTTTGTGGAACAGACACCCAAATGTGTCAGAGATAATAATAGTTAAGTCTTACTAATTAACCCTTACCTGGGGGAGAAGAGGCGGAATCATACGCTTCTCAAGGGTATTCGCACGTTAGTCAATATAACAAACACAACTGAAATTGTAACTCAACTCTGATTTTACAATTCTGAGCCATTATCCATTGCAGAAGCTCCACATCCAAGCTTACAGCACCCAGTATTCCCAAGCGGTTACCCATCTAGATACTGACTAGGCTCGACATTGCTTAACTTCGATGATAGGACGAGAACATGATATGGCCGTAACCTACCTAATGCTCTTGTATAAATGGATGACCGAATAGGAACGGGAAGAAAATGCAAACACTGTTAAGAACTACAAAGGATAGAACATTGTGGAGAGTTATGATTATCCACGTCCTGAAGGGACATGGCACATAGAAGAAGAAGAGGAAGAAGATTGATTTTGATAAGAAGAGAATAACAGCTATGACCCAGACCTTATACATCGTTGTATAAAAACGTTTAATTAATCAGTTCCTTCACTTCTACATTTCTGAGATTGTAGTCTTAAATATTCAAACGTTTCATGTGAGGCACTCAGATACCATTGTCTTGAAATAGTCTTTGGCGTCGTTGTCTTTCTCGTTCTGTTGCTAATCTTTTTCTTTTGAGAGATATTTCCATTTCACTGTAGTATTAATCATAAAATCTTTAACATGAAAAGATATTGAGCAAAAAGTGATTTATTTAATACCAATATTAATCAATAGATCATAGATACTATTGAACGTCTGTAATATATAAAGTGAACAGATTAAATAAACAGTTAACTGGGTTCTACTTTAGTTGTGAATTGTTTATCTTTATTGAATCTCACTACATTGTTTCGAGTCTTGTTTCATTGTATCTTACTGTTAAAACTTAGTAACAAATTTTGTCATTTTTGACGGTACGGATATAATACTATAAGAATAAAAACAAAAGTAAATTATTCTTTCGATCTAACCACAACTTCAGTCTAAAGAATGCCACAATTTGTGAAAGGGAAAATAACTTAATTAGACAGAAAATTCTTGAGAGTGCCATCATCGAATCTTGTCAAAATTTAAATCTGAAACGGGAATTTTTTCAAATATCTCCTTTTCTAAAAGATATACTTCTTTCCCAAGCCAACATACATAAATAAAAAAAATTAAAATTAAAAGAAAACGGTTCTTCTACTAATTAAAATGCATAAATAATTAATCAAGTTAAAATAAAATAATAATTACATAAATAAAAAAGTAAATCATTATATATAGATAAATAAGAAAAGTTCAACGACAATGACAACAACGTTTACTCACTTTTGTTTAGTGGCATTAAATTATCTCACGTACCATCTTCCATAGTTTATTCTGACTTTCATAGTTTTATCTTAAGAATATTTAGAGCATTCTTAAATTTAAAAATTTTGAAAACCTAACAATGTTTTCACTTCTTTTTATAAATGCACGTTGCAAAATAAAATGCGTATATTTGCCTTGATAAATTCCATTAGAGGACAAAACGCGTTGGTAAATATTAGTTCTCCTTTTGTCTTCATTCATATCGTCTTTTCACAGAAAATTTTTTATTTACATGACATTTTACACATTATGAAAAGTATGAAATCCGACAAACATTTTAATATATTTTCTGCTGATACGTTATTTTTATAGATACAATTTATTTGAGTCGGTTTAATTAAACAGTATTAATTACATTTTCTGGCCTGAATGATCGAGAAATTTCGTAGAAAATATGCATTCTCCGATAGGAATATGAACCTGTATCCTATACGGAATCCGTCATAAAGCCTGATGTAATTTTAACCACTCAGCCACAGAGAACTTCCAATTAGCAGTCTCCAAATTACTGCTTATAAACACACATCTTCGACG